CTGCTGCTTTTTCATCCTATTTAGGATTTTATTTTCTCGTTGGTGCTTTGTTGGTGGGTTGGGTGTTTTTTATTTTTTGCAACATCCTTAATTTTTCAGAGGGAGATGCTTTGCACTTTCAAAAAACCCGGCTGTGTCCAGGATAACCAGTTTTGGGGAGCTCCTCTCTGCCTGCCGAGCCAAGGTTTCTCCATCATCCCAAGAGCACGGAGGCAGCAGGATCGGACCCAAGCTCCTTTGGGAAACACTGCCTGATAAAACACTCATCTATTTCCAAGGATTTTGCCTTTTTCCCCCAAAATTGGTGGAAATAAATATGGAGAGAGCAAAATAAGGGCTGTCTTAAAAAAAAGTATTGCTGTTATTGTTACAGAGATAAAGACACATACATGAGTGCATCCGCGGAGGAGAAAAATAATTAATCCTGGCTTAATAAAGCCTTAGATTCAGTACCACTCTCCACTGCCTTAATTTTACTGCTTTACAAAAATTCATGAGCGTTTATAATGTATTATATACTACACCATGGCTGTTCTATGCAACGTAATATGCATTTGTATTTGGTAATAAAGTGCAATTTTCAGTTAAGGAATTGTATTATTAATAAGGGTGATACAGTGCCCGTGATGATGATATTTCTATTATTGTTGTTGCCTTACTTACAATTTAAAATATACTGTTTGGGGATTCGGGGCGGTAATGATCAGTTGTGTGTTTGAGCTTGATCTTGCTGAAAGATTAGAAACCCTAATTCTGTGGGTTTCATCTCAAACCCCAGACTGACTGGTGACAATTAAATTAGGCAGCAAGCAGAAGGTGGCTTGAAACCCGCAGAGGGGAACAAAGCCCTGGGCCAACCTTCCCCCGCTGGCGGAGCCAAGGTGAGAATTGCAACCGCTTGCAGGACGGGGGATTGTAGGGTCCCGTGCAAAATGCAGACACGTGTTGCAGCCCCATCCTCCGTCCTACAGCCCCGTCCCTCTGTCCTACAGCCCCGTCCCTCCATCCTGCGACCCCATCCTCCATCCTACAGCCCAGTCCCTCCATCCTGCGACCCCATCCTCCGTCCTACAGGCCAGTCCCTCTGTCCTACAGCCCCATCCCTCCATCCTACCGCCCTATCCTCCATCCTGCAGCCCCATCCCTCCATCCCACAGCCCCATCCTCCATCCTGCGACCCCATCCTCCGTCCTATAGCCCCATCCCTCCATCCTACAGCCCCATCCTCCATCCTACAGCCCCATCCCTCTGTCCTACAGCCCCGTCCCTCCATCCTGCAGACCGTCCCTCCATCCCGCGGTCTCATGCCTGCGAGGACAGGCACAGCAGAGGTGCTGGGCTCCCCACGTCACCCGCTGCCCCGTGGGGAGCAGCCACCTCGTCCTTAGGTGCACAGGGAAGGTCAGGGGCTGCTTGTAGGGCAGAGGGTTGTAACAAATGCCGATGAGTCACTGGAAATGCTGGCCCCGGGGATGCTACAGGGCAAATCTTTTAGCATCCCTGTGGGAAAGCTTAAGATCTGGTTCACAATCTCTCCCCCACCAGCGGCGGAGAAGACATTTTCCAACCAAGCGTCTGCTCCAGGCTTTGATCTTCCCAGATACTGCTGCTGGGTTCAAACGGTGCCTGCTCAGGGAACCCTGATTTACTCGAAACACAATGCAAAGCGCCCGTCAGAAGTGCCCACAGCCCCTCACGCCCGTTTACTCCCAACAGCATCGACCTCCTCGGTGCCACGGCAAAAGAAAAACCCCACCGCTTTTTTTTTTTGCAAAAAGCAACTTTACAAGGGGTGGGGGTGGCAAACCAGGATCTGGCCTTCCCCTCCCAGCCTGAAAAGCGTGGCAGCGGGCTGGATGCGCTCGGGCTCCTGTGCCGCCCTCTATCCCCGCTCCCCTCTGCGTGGGGAAGGGGGAAGCTGCCCATCCCTGGTAATTTGGGGACAGATTATAAGCAGTTTTTGGCTCTGGCAGGGAAATCTCCTGAAAGGGGGCTTTGCAGCGGGTCCTTTTCATGCCTCATTAAGTCGGGAATTCACGGTAACGCCATCCCAGGGAATGCCTGGAGCAAGTTCACGGCCTCAGCCGCGCCGGGTCTGATCCCTGAGTAATGAAATCATTTGCCAAACTTACCCCGAAAAGCCCAAATTTGGCATTTTGAACTCACACCGGGGAAAATTTTTCCAATAGGCCCATGTGATTTACGCACCCATCCTTCCCAGCACTTTATACCACAGAGCTGTGCTGGCACGTTTTAACCCAGGCCAAAATTCCTTTTATCAGGGAAAAAACAAGAAGATCTTTATTTCTTTTAGTATCATTTTCTTTGAATATATTTTCACTAAACTTCTTTCCCCAGTACATCGTGTTACAGTGGGGGGAAAAGATGCCATCCCCAATTGCATAGGCTGCGTATCCTACCCAGCTACACCTGCATAGACTTAATCCTCACCATTAAAAAATGATAATAATTAATTTTCTAATGATCCCAGGGGTGCTCTGCAATTAGCACTATCCAAAGGTGACGGTTCTCCAGGAAGCAAAATCGCTGGAGGGAAATGAGAGCGCTGCAAAAATCGCCTGATTTCATACAGCCTTGCGTGAAGGATTTTGCTTCCACCCTGAGAGCTGTCGTTGTGCAGAGGAAAGAAAATTCTTTAGTCCTAAGGAAAGGCAAAGGAAGGAGTCTGGGGCCAGGGACTGCTCAGACGCTGAGCCAGGCTCAGGCGTGCTACCAAATCGGGTTTGGATGGGTGAAATCCACAACGGTGTTTCCCTCCCACTAAATCTTTCAGTGCCTTCGGTTTTTCAGCCCGTCAGGGCTTTTCACCCTCGCTCACCAAACAAAAAAACACCTTCTCCCTGCTCAGAAACCACCAGCCAGCCTTTACGTGCTTCACACGACCCCCTCGATACCCACAGCATCGCTCCGGCGTCGAGGAGCCAGCTGGGAGCAGCCCAGCAGCGGCCGCATCCCGACTCGGGGAGAAGAAGGGAAGGGGCAGGTCTGGACTTTAAACTACTTGCTGAGGGAGCTGCCATCCAAAAAAATCCATTTTAATCCTGAATTTAAAACTCACCCACTTTCAGGCAGCTTCTTTTTTTTTTTTTTTTACTTTACCAAAACCCAAGCGCTTTTTATTTAAAACCCAAGTGCTTCTTCCACATTTAAGGCAGAGACATAATTAGACCCGCGCTAATCAATCCCCCGGGGTTCTGCCGCGCTGCTCTCGGCGATGCCGGAGGCAATACCCTGCATCCAGCACCCCAACCGGGACGTGGTGATGGAAAAGGTTCCCGGTTTCTTCCTCCCTCGTTACCGACTGCTAACATTTTCTAGACTGGCTCAACGCATCCCGTCTGCCCGGTGCTATTTAAGAGCCCAGATAAAACCCACTTTTTGCCACCCAAAGGAAGGCTGCGAGACTTGCGACGCGAACCGCTGCTTAACACAGGGCTCCAAACCCCCAAAGCGCTGCGCTCAATCCCCGGCACCTTAAAAGCCGCTGAGTATTTTTGCAACTGCAATTCTTCATTCGCATTATTTTGGTTTGAAGTTATTTTTACTACTCTGAGCCCTTTTGAGACTGCTGCAAAAAGGTGGTGTTATTTTTTTTTCCCGAAAAAGAGGTGGCACCATAGTCAAATACAAATGCACGTACGTCCTTGTTGTTAATATTTAATTATTATTTGATTACTCGATTCATCCTGCCCTTTTCCTATACTTTACACCTTCCCATGGCTTCCTAAAATCATTGCCTGGTTGGACAAAACTTTATCCTTATGGATAATCTATTCCTCAGTTTAAGCAATTTCATAACACCCAAAGAAAAAGCATTGGCAAGGCCAAGCCTTCGCCGACACCCAACTTGCCTTTCTTTAACATCTTAAAATAATGCTAAAGATAAAGCAAACCTCACTAGACACGATGGAAAAAATACCTTCAAAAATTTAGGTTAAAGAACACGATCTTAAAACGTATCTGCAGACAAATTTGAGTCATTTTCTTTGTTAATCCCGACCCCAAAGCCAACAGAAATACCTTCATGGAGAGAAGGCGGGGAGGAAAAAAGGGTTTATGAAACCACAATGCAAAGATGTGTCCCACATTTCTCTCCCCCTTTCTCCCTCTTCCACTGTACAAAATATAAAAGCAGTATTTTAAGCCATTCGGGACGATTTCTGGTTGTAGGACGCAGAGGCGCTTAATGAAATAAAAGGCTCTGAGATCGGGATCGGCACAAGAGATCCCGGCTGAGATTTTTTGGGGGCAAGGAGACGCTGGAATACAGGACTGGGTCATTCAGATGTGCCTGTGAGACTCCCCAAAAGTGTGATAATAAATGCGAATATGTTTCTTTTCCTCATTTTCCATCATTTCTCTCCCCTCGGCACCGAATTTCCTTTCACTTTCCCTTTCTCTAGCCTAACAGATCTTTCCAAAAATAAAAAAAGGACGTAACATAAAACAGCCCAAAGGGAGGATCTCGGATTCATGGGCCAAACTTCAATTTCCCTCTTTTCCGAACAAATTTTCCCCATTTTACACCTAAAGCAAGCCGGGGAAGGGGCTGCCTGCACACCCACGGAGCGTTGTGGTCCTGCGCACCACGGAGATCCCCATCGCAGCCCCTAAATCCCCTCGGAGCTATTCGTGAAGCCCGCGGGTCCTTGCGCGGGGGCTCGGCACATCGTTTCTCCCAGCTCCGGGCCTACCCTAAATGATATTTATATTGGGAAGCTGTGGTCCTTGTCGGGATTTTGAAACGATGGTTTTGCAGAGAAAATGTGTGCGTGCAGGGGGAGCAACCACAGCACCCTGGGGACCCCCAGGTTTTGCAGCCGGAGGGGTGGCCCCGGCAGCGACGTCCCGAATAGGCTGAATTTCTCCCTCCTGCCCTTCGCGCCTTCTCGCCCTGCCCAAAGAAGGGCGCGTGCCCACAAATTTTTTGGTGGGGTGAAACCCTCCCATCCCTTACCCCCAACCCTGGCTGCGCTCACCGATGTTGGCGTGCCGGGCGGCCGCGGGCGTCCCTCGGCTCTGCAGGTTGTGCAGCATGGGGCTGTCGAAAGGCGAAGAAGTCCAGGTCGTGGCCATTTCGGGGCTCATGTAAGCCGGGTAGGGGCTGGAATAGGAGCTGCCGAAACCCCTGCTGTACTGCTCCCTCCCATTAGCAGAAAGGTTCAAGGAGCTGCTGTAAGCCGCCGCGGCTTCCCGGGAAGAGGTGGCAGGAATGGGGGTGCTGGTGGAGAAGGAGAACCGAGGTGACACGGGAGGGTGAGAAGATCCAGGGTTGTAAGCGGTGCTTTCGGCTCCGGGTTGAGTCCAGATGGAGTGGCTGGAGACGGGGCTGCCTTGCTGGGAAGAGCCGCTGCTCTGGAGGTATGGCAGGCTGGGGAGCATGGAGGTGACCCTCGTGGTGGGCACATAGACGGGGGACGCTGCGGCCGCGCTGTGCATGAAGCCACCTGCCCCCTCGTACGCCGGAGGGCCGGGGTTAGCTGCCATGGCTAAACTCTGGTACATCTCGCGACTGGCCTCCCCAAACCCCAGCCGGGTCCCCGGCCACAATCCAGAGCGACGAGGAGCGGGTGAAAAACCCCAGGCTCCACTTTCCCCTGCGGCGAGCGATGGCCGGAGCGATTCTCGCGTGGGCACAGCCTTCCAGCCAAAACCAAAACACCACCAGCGATGCAATTTTCCTCCACCTCCCCCCCCTCCCTTCCCCACCGCCCACCTTC